GCATGGAGCAGGCAAGGGTGGAAGGAAGAAAACAGAAGAGACGTGCAATGGATATTGGTTTTTCCTTAGTCTTTCAGGAGGCTGACTTGTCTTTCAAACTGGAGTCGGATCTCAGAAACGAAACCTAGAAACTGTCATGTAATCATTATGAAATAAGCCTAAGGGAGCTAATTCAAATGTGATTGCACAAAGAGCCTCCCCTTTTTGTATAAATGAGGGGAAAAAGTTCTTCCTCCCCCCCCCTCAAGTGTCAAGTTAAATTTTCCTTAAGTTTAGAAGGGTGTCTGCAGGAAAATACAGCTGACATCAAAGCATGCTCTCCACTCTGCAATTTGCTTCATGAAGAAGTTATGATAAACAGGTTATGTGGTTCCCTAAGGTTACCATGGAAACCTTTTCTTTTCAGGCCATCATTTCCAAAGGTACAATTTGCATTAAAATGACAGAACTTGATTTTTTTTTTTTGCAAGATTCAAGAGGGGTCATGCTACCATGTATTATAGCTATTATTTCAAAACTCTTGAATGTAACATTCAAGGGAAGGATCTATTAATCCCCGTAAACATCTTGATGACCGAATACAATTTAATTGCTGGCTTGTCAAGTAGTTCCCTGAAAAATTATCTGGGAAAATTAAACTTCTAATGCAAGAATAAGTATTAAAGTTAATTCATGAGTTGTATCTAAATTCTACTTTTTCTTGCATTACTATGTGCAACTATTCTACACCATGTCCGGGTGTTTTCAGTTCTGGAAGACATCAGGACAGTAAGGGAACCCATTGCTCCATCTCTCTGTTTCTCTCTCATTGAGATTTATATTTGTCAGTCAATAAATTGGGGAAGGGAATCTTTCTTAAAATGGTAAGGCAATACACACTCATTGTAAATACAAAGCAGATACAAAACTATAATGTCTACAGTGCCCTAGGTGATCTGTTCCTTCAGTATTTCAGATGTGTGTTATATGCACAAACACATTGTTTTAAAAAGTATAATCACCTTTCTCTACATATTACAAGGGTACAATTTTTTTTCTGGCACTGAAGGCTACATATGATATTGGTCAAGGCTCAGAGGGCCACATGTGTGTGTATACATTTACACACACTGGGAATATTAGTCCATATATTTTTAAAAACTGAATAGATTATCAAATGCACTGTATTTCTTAAAATACATAAATACTGCTTCTCTTGACCCAGTGGAAAGGCAAAGTAGTTCTCCAAGGGCAGCTCTTCCAATGAAAATTAATGTGGCAGATCCCATACAAGGATATTGTGAGTGCAGTGAGTGATGAGCGTGTAATAGTAAAGACAGAATACAAGCAGTAAACAACCACTCATCCACGGCTCAGAGAACTAAGGACACTTCCCATCTTTCTTGATAAGGTGATCTGAGTGCTGGGGATGGTTCTTTCTAGACATATGCAAAATTCACTGAATATACTACATGTGTATATTTTCTCAAATCCAGGTGAATGCATCCGACTGATTTTGGCTAGTTCGAACAGTACTGTATTCCCCTGATATTGGTGAATATTTGCTTAAAGGCCACAGATACTTTTATGTAGGTGTGTCTTGTATGTACTGCACTGTATCACGGGCCTTGAACATGCATGTCATATAACAAGAACATAGAGGTGATCTGGAAGAATACAGCAACAGTTCAGAGTAGGAATTGGCAAAACCACCCCTGAGTATTCCTTGCTTGAGAAAACTCTATGAAATTCATGGAGTCGCAATAAGTCAACAGGCAACTTGAAGGCACACAAAAAAAGGTTTGGCTATCACCAATATGTGTTTTACTTTAATAAAGACCGTTTGGAACAAAAAGACAGTACTGTATGAATGCAGAATGCTTTTGCTTAAAAAGACTGAAATATTTCAACAAAATGCAGGATATCTTATAAGGTTCATTCAAATAAGAATGAATCACAGGAAGATTCACTGAAAACATGTCAGAGTTTTGGAAAGGCTGGAAAAACATGTAAATTAATACTTAAAAATGACAGAATCACAACTTTCACTTTGAATTTTATTTACTCTTATAGCAGCAGCAACTCTAACAATGTGTGTTTAGGTAGTGGACAAACTCCAGAATGAGGTGTCTATTTCAACCTATGAGTAACCCCTTTAGAGATCTTGAACAACCAAGAGAAGGAAGCAGATGATGTGCTGTGGGTGGTCATACAATACCCCCCTACTCCTATTGTGCCAGTTAACAAAATAAAATAAAATGCTGTAATGACTTTCAGTCCCCAAGAAAATGTGGTGACCACGATCTGAAGCTGCACAGATCAAGTCCCTCTTTCTTGTGTGCATGGAAGAAATGGTAAGCCAGTGACTACAGATGATGGCATGCCGGGGGTCAATCCAGAGACAATGGCACTGTACACATACTAATATCAATGAGTTCAACCGTTTACTTGTTCTATGTGCAGCTCCACTATACCCAACAATGTAATTGTGGAGCTTCTTCTCCAAATACTTTATTTAATTTGGCCATATGTATATGAAGGGATTGGGGGCAATTTGGGATAAATAATGCTGTTTATATATTTTGCTACCATACAGATGCTTTGTGAAACCAGCAGGGCTAAAACTCATATCCTTCTGAAAGGAGCAAAGCTAAGCTCCTGATCTTAGAGGGGAAGATCTTTTATTTATTTCACCCCTTTGGAATTTGATAAAGAAAGCAGAGACCACTCTGTTTAGCAGGAGAGAACTAAGGTTCACCCATCTATAGTATTTATATATATATTTGAACATGCTAGATTATTTTGGATGACAACTGGTTCACCTTAGGCCTCATAAACTGATCAGTTATGTCAACCATTTGCACCAGTACACATGGCCTGGAACAAGGTCTAGCAGATCTTCATGGCTGTCTCTGCTGCCTGTTTCTAAAGGAGAACTAAGAAGAGGTGGTAATGCTGGATCTTATCAGCTAGATTTCAGGGTTGCCAACCAACCAGGAAATAAGGGCCCAGAACTCACTGGAAGGGCATATGCATACCCAAGATCCTAAGTCCAATCATTGGCATTTCTAGTGAAAAACAATTGCTTATTGCCCAAGATATATAAAAATTAAGAGAACCACTGTCAGGGATGGTGTGCGTGCGTGTGTGTAGCATTACTGACCCAGATGGTCATGGAAATTTCATATACATATCTATTTATCTGTCCACCCACCCACCTCCACATCAAACTATTTGCCTAATCACCCATTCCCAACTATCTACTACCTATCCATCCAAGAAAAGCACAGCTTATCCAGAACAGATACTTTCTCTGCAAGAAGTCTCCTCTGGGCAGGGGTGCTAATGTGGGTTGAGGGATGGTAACTTACTAAGATGAGACATTAAACATGATTGTAGACCTAGTGCTAACTATAGTTGATGTGTCCTTGACACAATGGCATACAATTGTACACTCAACATCACAAGCCATCATTTAAACAGGGTTGTATTGTTAAAGTGTATATTCCCATTATTGTGATATGCTCTCTCTCTCTCTCTCTCACACACACACACAAACACCACACACTCCCCATCCCCTCTAGAAAAATGCTTAAGTATAGAAAGCACTCTTTGTTTTTTTAAAATCCAATTTATTCAAGTACACAGGCCATCTAAAAAGATTTTTTAAAATTAGAAATACAAACAAGATGGAATTATCTGAGAACCTGAGCAAATGCTTTTAACACAAAACAATTGTTGAGTTAAATACTTTTAATTAAATAACTTTTCCTCCATTAAAAAGGGGGAGAGGGTTCAGCATACTTTCTCACTATCTGTTAAATATATGGGCAAGACATCAGAAAAAGAAGACTTTTTTGACAGAAGGGCTAAGTTTGTATAGCACCAGAGATTGATTTAGCAAATGAAGTTTTCTTCTGCCCTATTTTGTTCTGTATTTTAATGCATTATTATTAGATTAGCATCTGCACTATAGACCTTGAAGTGGGAACTAATAAAGTTATCCACACAATGTCTAGGTGTCTGAGACACTGACTTTATTTTTCATTTAAAATAATTATAACAGTGCCACTTGTTTGTTAAAAAGCCCTTTTATATTCACAGATAATTACTTTATACAACACCCGGCAATGCATTCTAATTTTCACATCTTGGCTGAGAAATGGAAGTTGGGAGAAAGAGGGGACCCTTAAGCTCTTTAAAGTTTGCAACAACTTGACTACAATGTAGCCATCACACTTTTAAAGGCTTGAAGTTAACAACAGCAGCAGCTCTGATGTGGATTAACAAGCCAGAAAACAACTGCACAAGAACAACAGTGGTAAAATATATTATCAGTTACAGAGTGATTACGAATGGAAATTTATGGCCTGACCAATTTCAGGGAGCTTAATACTGTATATGCCAAACAACACATTTTAAACATAACAAAGAAGAGGCTGCTCTGATCTTTAAACCCCACTATGTTTTGAGAGTTCTTGTTCTCATGTAGCACTCAATTTGAAGTGAGTTTTAGCGAAAGTCATCAGTCTGCTGCAGAATACATATAATACAATATTAACATGATCAGCTGGAAATGACAGCAACAGCAATGCTGTGTGTGGACATCAGTCTCCAAATTCTGTTCGTTCTAAAGAAGTGGAAGAAGAGGAATCCAGGCAGAAAACTCCTCTGTCTACTCTCAAAGGGAGATGCTTTCTCCAAATTCCTAATGTTTTACTTCCTCAGGAAACTCATTTGTAATTCTCCCTATGTTTCCTCCTGACTGATAGCTTCAACTCATCTTGCCTCCTCATAATTTGAGAAATTACTTTTAAAATCTCAAATAGTTATACTATCAGGCTCCCCCCTCCAAACTAGGTATGATTGTTGTTGTGTTCACATTGTTTCCAATTTACAATGACCCTAAGGTCACCACAGGTTTTTCTTGGAAAGACAGGTTCAGTGGGGAGGGAGGTGCCTTTGCCTTCTTCTGAGGCTGAGAGAGTGTGACTTGCCCAAAGTCACCCAGTGGGTTTCCATGGCCAAGCAGGGATTTGAACCCTGGTCTCCAGAGTCCTAGTCTGATGCTCAAACCACTTCAACATGCTGACTCTTTTTAGGTATTATTACATATTAAAATGGCTAATAACAATTATTTACTTTTTCTCACAAGTAACTAAAATATTTAGGCCTAAATACCCTAAAGGCACCAGATGTTGGTTAGTACCTGTATGGAAGACCACCAATGATCAGGTGCTGTAGGTTATATTTCAGAGGAAGGAACTGGCAAAACCACCTCTGAGGATTCCTTGAATCTCACAAGATCAGGAAAATCAAAGGAAAATTCAAACCAAAGACCAGGATACTCTATGACAATAATAACAGCATGATTCAAGACCAGGAAGGAATAAAAAGACGCTGGATGCAATGCACAGAAGAATTATACAAAAGAGATGACAAAATGAAGGACAGATGGAATGAAGAGCCATATGAAGATGAACGCCAAATTCTAAAAAATGAGGTGGAAACTGCAATAAGAGAAATACCAAAAACAAAACAAAACAAAAAAAACCCCAAATCACGAGGAACAGATGATATTCCAATTGAACTGCTACAATCCATATTGACAAAGTCAAATTTAGTGCTGACCATCATCTGTCAACAGATATGAAAAACAAAACAATCGGCAACAGATTGGAAGTGGTCAATATACATCCCCATCCACAAAAAGGAAGACACAAGAAACTGCAGCAACTATAGGACCACAGCACTGATCTCCCATGCAAGCAAAATTATGCTCAAAATTCTGCAATATAAGACTCCAACCACACATGGAGAGAGAAATCTCAGAGGTCCAAACAGGGGAAGGGAAGAGGCATTGGGGACCACATTGCAAATATACAATGGCTAATGGAGCACTCCAGGGAATTTCAAATAAAAATCAGAATGTGCTAAAGCAAAGCCTTTGACTGCACAGTCAATGAAAGGCTATGGAACGCCCTTAAAGACATGGGAGTGCCAACACATCTGATAGTCCTGATGAGGACTATCTGTACTTAGGAAAAGAGGCTTAGGAAAAGAGGCTACTATCAGAACAGAATACAGAGAAACAGAATGATTCACAATTGGCAAAGGAGTCACCCTACCTATTGAAACTATATGCAGAGCATATTGTAAGGAAAGCAGGCTTTAACATGGAAGAGGGAGGAGTGAAAATAGGAGGAAGAAATGTTAACAATCTGAGATATGCAGATGACACCATAGTGCTATCAGAAAACCTCGTAGACCTGGAACACCTACTAAGGAAGATCAAAGAACAAAGTGCAAAGGCAGTCTTAATGTTGAACATAAAGAAAACAAAAATAATGACTACCGAGGACCTTCACAAGTTCAATGTAGACAATGAAGAAATAGAAATAGTAAAAGAATTTCCATACCTGGGATCAAACATTGATAGAAATGGGGACTGCAGTCAGGAAATCAGAAGAAGACTAAGAATGGGGAGGATGGCTATGAAAGACTAGAAGAGATTCTCAAATGCAAAGATATACAACTCAGGACAAAAGTTATAATCATACAAGCCATTGTATTCCCTATTACCATGAATGGATGTGAGAGCTGGACAATTAAGAAAAATGATAGGAAAGCAAAGCAAAGCAAAGCAGCTTCATTTATATACCACTTCATACCATGCTATGGGATGTCTAAGCGGTTTAAACTATAAGCTCATTGCCCCCAAACAGTTAGGTACTCATTTTAGCGACCTCGGAAGGATGCAGGCCTGAGTCTAGCCTGATCCCTGGCTAGTACTGAACTTGCAACCTTGTGGTCTATAAGTGAGTGGCTGCAGTACAGGCATTTAACCACTGCACCACTCAATTCCTTTGAGATGTGGTGCTGGAGAAGAGTGCTGAGGATCCCATGGACAGCCAAAAAGACAAACAAATGGGTCCTAGAGCAGACCAGAAACCTCCGTGGAAGCCAAGATGACCAAACTGAGGCTGATGTACTTTGGACAAATCATGAGAAGAGAAGACTCAAGACAATAATGCTGGGAAAGGTGGAGGGAAGTAGGAAGAGAGGAAGTCCACATGCCAGATTGATGGACTCTATTGAGGAGGAGACGGGTATTAAGGGGTTGCAGGATTTAAGCAAAGCAGTGGAGGACAGAAGGTCTTGGAGATGTCTCATCCATAGAGTTGCCAAGGGTCAAGATCAACTCAAGGGCAGTTAACAACAACAATAATGACTCTTTCAACAAACTGAAATATGTTGATAAATGAAACTGGTAGTTGTCACAATCTCATATGGGAAAGGATTCATCTCCCAGTAGTTGTGCATACAAATCTGTAAATGAATCCTAAATCTAAATCTTAATTGTAATAATAATAATAATAATAATAATAATAATAATAATAATAATAATAATAATAATAATATTTTTTTTCTCTCGCCCCTCTGTGTAATGCAACCGGGGCACCTTATGACATTAAAATATACATTCCATATCCCACAATCCCACCCCCATTAAAATACTATTAAACAGTTGACAATTTAAAACACACTCAAAATAAAATAATAACACATATAAACAATAACTGCAGCAAAATCTGGGATAAGCAGGTTGGGCTATCTTTTGGTGGCTGGGATATCTATTCAGGAAAGGCTTGCCGGAAGAGATCTGTCTTAACAGCCTTTTTAAAGCTGTTTAAGGTGGTAATGTGATGGATTTTGTCTGGCAGGCCATTCCATAATCTGGGAGCAGTTGCTGAAAAGGTCCTCTGGGCAGTTGCAGACAGTCCAGTTTTTATAGGCTGCAGCAGATTCCTCCCAGAGGACCTGAGTGCGTGGTGCGGATTATACAGGAGGAGGCAGTCCCAAAGATAGGTTGGATCCAAGCCCAAAGAAAGGTTGGACCCAATGGCTTAGGGCTTGTACGTAGGACTAAAACCAGTTGCATATGTGTGTATGTGTGTGCTTGTGAGTGAGGGGTGTGCAGTCAGCTGATGCTCCATTTAATCCCCTTTGAACTTCAGCAAGTACCTACCATTTATTGAATCTATGCATTCTCAATGTTTATACAGTACCCCCAGTTTTGAAAAGAAGATTGTGCTTATCACAGTATTTGAAAAGCCACTCTGGACTAAATGTGATACATGTGATGATATGTAGCATAAGTAGACACAAGGTCTCCTTTCCTGTTTTAACCTTTGGATTATGGGAAAAGGATTTAGAAAGAACTTTATTTTTCTTTTTTTACTTTAGAAAAATAGGGCCTCATTCCTAAAGTCACTGGTGTGTGAGTGTGGTATCTTTCTGCTGTGGGGGTGGGTAGAAAAGGAGGTGATGGTTGTCAGGCATTTAAGAAGAGTTTTACTTTTTTGTGTGCCATTGCAATCAGAATGTCAGAAGGAACTATATTTTATCCTGTGGCATAAATGGCATTGATGCTGGATGTCACAAAAAGAGCTGTCATTTGGGTGTCTATCTCAAATAGGCAAGTGAAGGTTCAAATGGAAAAATAGTAGGTCTAGTTAATCCTCAGAAAGGTTTAATGTTAAAAAGACCTTTTGCAGTTCCTGTGATTCATGCTCTCTGCTTTTGCATGGACTGTTTCACACTTGAAGCCAGGTGAAATGTGTGTGTTTCAACCACGTTAACAGAGGCTGAGCAAGTTCAGAAATAATTCTTTTGGGAACCATCCAATCACACAAACATACAAATGAACAAAAAGCCTGATGATGTGGCCAACAAAGCAGCAACAAAGCACAGAATGGGAGGGGGGTTGCAGGGTTTTTATAGTTGGGTCTGGCTCCATCTGAGAGCTGGTGCAGCAGTTGCCATAGGTATGCCTGGCACTTGTTGTGTTGGTGCCAGTATATGAAACTCAAAGTGCCGTGTTTGGTCTCTCTTGCACCCTGTGACTCTGTTCTCCTTTATTAAGTGAAAGAAGCTGGATGGGACTCATTATGAGGCTTTGAGTAAGCAATAAAGAGGCTTGATTGAACAGTGGGTGCAATTTGTATGCTGCAGGAAACAGTAAAGAAGCAATTTCTAGATAGTCAAGTAGAAAATGCAGGAGCCCATTTCAGTTGTTTTCTTTTTTTAAAAAAAGAAAAGGGGTAGGTCAAAAGCAGAACTATGATGTATGGGGGGAAAATAAGACAAATTCTCTGCTCTTGCTGAAGCTTCCAAGATTCTGCTTGCTATGGCAGAAAAGTCATTATTAGCACCAATAGCATGATATCTGCCTATATCAAGTAGCAGAGATTTTTCCTCGGATCATTTTATCCTTGCCCCTCCATCCATCACAGTCCTGATTCTGATTGTGTGTGTGCGTGTGCATGTATACATGAGTGTGACTTCCATCTTATGTGCAGTTTGAACCTGAGATTCCCATTACTGATTTATCTCTCTCATACACTCTCTTTGGATTTTAAAAGCATGATTCCAAAGAAAAGAAACAGAAATAAAAGGGGTGGGGGAGAGGAATAAAAAAAGAGAAGAAGCACATAGGTCACAAACAATAATACACACTCTATACTCAGTCACACACACACTGATATAAGCTGATCATACTTCCCCAAATACCTTCTCTTGAAGCTGGCCTCTATAAAATACATGTTCATGAGTAGCTAAAGGAATGAGATCTTCTGACCATTGAACAATAGATGGTACATGTTTCTCTTTCCAATTCTGGAGCAGAAGTTGTTTTACAACAGAAAAAGTACACAAGATCCAACAACACTGACCCTCAGTTAAACTCCATGTCAAAGGAATGTAATTTAAAAGAACAGGAACATCTACCCACACCAAAGATTTTTTTCTAGTACAAAATTAATACCTTATAACACAGTTAAACAAAAAAGGCATAACCACAGAACACCCCCACATCATATGCCACAAGGAAAGAATTGTGCACATTACATCACCAACATTTACTTAAAACAGACATTTTCTTTCTAAAAAGGTCCACTATACCTGAAACATCCTTTTTTTTTTTTGCTAGAACAAACATAATTTTGGATCTAAAAAGAATTTAGATATGGAAGCAAGGGCAATTTTCTATTGGTTAATTTGTAAAGGCTGATCCAACTCTTTGTTCCACTCA